GAGTTAGCAGTGAGTTGATAAGTTTAATGCCAATGGTTATGAAAATATTTCACTTCAGGTTAATATGTAGATAACCATTGTAAGTTGAATGAAGAAAGTTAAAAGTCGAAACTTTCGCTCAACCGTTGTAGATGACCTATCTATGACGCACCACTAAATAATTTTAGTGGTGTTAATTTAGTTGCAGACTAATAATTTTAGTATGCAACTAAATAACTTCGGCTGCTCCTGTCCTGTCTATCCAGTCTATTCCATCTGTGTTGGCTTTGCTATCTCTCCGTCCGTCTCATTCCGCCTGTCCGTCGCTGGGCGATCAACAGTCAACTGCTGGCAGCTGAGTGATGACTTTCATCTCACGACCCACAGCTTATAACAACACAGCGCGCCGCTCCTCCCCTCTCCCAGCCTTGGGCCTCGTTGCCTTGGGCCAGAATTGGAGGAATGGAACTGAGTATGGACTGCAAAACCAACTGAAACATCCATGAAATGCTTGAAAGCACGTGAGATTCATGTGGAGATCTACCTACTGTAAGATATGAATTAACTGCACGTGCATAGTTCATGTCCCAGGCACCACAGTGCAGGCATTTTCATAACATCATGTAGCGTGTGTCTAGTTCTATCAGTGTACCGACTTTTGTGTCGCTAGCTCGACGTTTCCCGGGATCAGAGGATCCATCGTCAAAACCGTTAACCGCCCCCCGCACGCGCAGCTTGCACCCCTCGGATATTATCTCGCCGGAATGTCATGACTCAATGTATTCTTCTTATGACCTGCCAGTTTTGAACCAGTTAGAGCTGCCGTTTACCCTGCAGGCGTGGCAACGTACGAAGGAGTGCAATCGGCTTGCACGTGCATAGCTCATGCACCACAGAGTTTAGCTCAACCAAATGTGCACTATTTTGGAGGCCTTGCCTGGGACTACCATTGAACCGATTTTGAGGTTGCTAGATCAAGATTTCTTTGAGCCAGAGGACCTCACGTCAAAACGGTTTTCCGCCCCCAGCACGTGCAGCATGCACCCCTCGCAGACGGTGACCCCTCTGGAAACTGGTTCCAGGTGTTACCGATGTGTCCCGCCAGTATGGCTTTGCCCGTGACCTCGGGTTGACCTGTAGCCTTGACAAAAAATTTCGTGTCACCGAAACTTTGAAGCGGAATAGCATGTGCCACGAAGCACCGAGCGAACCGAGGCCAGCACCAAAAGTTTACCTCGCCGGAGACGAATCAAACGGTCCCACTTTCGTCCCGATCGGTCCACCCATTTTGACTCCAGGTCCAAAAAAGCTTGGACAACTCACATACTCACTCACTGACAAACAGGTTCAGCCGAACTTTTTTTCAGCGACCCACCAATGGGAATTTCCGGATGCAAAAGCATGCTATCGCATGCTTTTGATCCTCCAATTCTGGACAATTTTTATGTTCTCTCGGCTGCTCCTGTCCTGTCTATCCAGTCTATTCCATCTGTGTTGGCTTTGCTATCTCTCCGTCCGTCTCATTCCGCCTGTCCGTCGCTGGGGGATCAACAGTCAACTGCTGGCAGCTGAGTGATGACTTTCATCTCACGACCCACAGCTTATAACTAGATGCCGGCAGCGCTCTTGCGTTGCCTTGGGCCAGAATTGGAGGAACGGTACTGAGGGCACACACCGGGCAAAACCACCGAAACCCAGACTGAGCTTTGACTGAACCTGAAACCAACCGAAACATCCCAAAAATGCTTGAAAGTACGTGAGATACGTGTGGACGTGGAGATCTACCTACAGTAAGATATGAATTAACTGCACGTGCATAGTTCATGTCCCAGGCACCCCAGTGCAGTCATTTTCATAACATCATGTAGCGTGTGTCTAGTTCTATCAGTGTACCGACTTTTGTGTCGCTAGCTCGACGTTTCCCGGGATCAGAGGATCCCTCGTCAAAACCGTTATCCGCCCCCCGCACGCGCAGCTTGCACCCCTCGGATATTATCTCGCCGGAATGTCGTGATCAAATGTATTCTTCTTATGACCTGCAAGTTTTGAACCAGTTAGAGCTGCCGTTTACCCTGCAGGCGTGGCAACGTACGAAGGGGTGCAATCGGCTTGCACGTGCATAGCTCATGCACCACAGAGTTTAGCTCAACCAAATGTGCATTATTTTGGAGGCCTTGCCTGGGACTACCATTGAACCGATTTTGAGGTTGATAGCTTAAAATTTCTTTGAGCCAGAGGACCTCACGTCAAAACGGTTTTCCGACCCAAGCACGTGCAGCCTGCACCCCTCGCAGACGGTGACCCCCCTGGAAACTGGTTCAAGGTGTTACCGATGTGTCCCGCCAGTATGGCTTTGCCCGTGACCTCGGGTTGACCTGTAGCCTTGACAAAAAAAAAAAAATTCGTGTCAACGAAACTTTGAAGCGGAATAGCATGTGCCACGAAGCACCGAGCGAACCGAGGCCAGCACCAAAAGTTATGCTATCGCATGCTTTTGATCCTCCAATTCTGGACAACACAGCGCGCCGCCCCCCCTCTCCCAGCCTCTCCCAACTCACACCCGTCCAAATCGCCGCTCCAGCCAGCTCTGAAGGACATGTTGGCGGAAATGGCAACCGCTCTTTATCGACAACACTTGAGCCAGAGAAAACTCAGCAGGTGTCTCAGAGGGAACTTCACGAGGCTTCACTTGAAACCCCATTGAGTGAACGGCAGAAACTCTGCAAGGCAGCAGCTGTGAGCTGAAACTCCAGAGCGGATAGCAGAAACTGTTCAGCGCAGCAGCTGAAACTCTATGGCATCGAGCGGCACGTGGATCCAATTCGCCGAAACGGCAGTTTGACTATGCCAGTCAACATGCCTGCCATCCAAGTCAGATGGAATGGGCGAGCTATCCGTGTGTAACGTTCAGCAAGACCTAAAAGAGAACCGGCCCACATGCTGTTTCGGACATGAAACTTCATATTCCGACTGTGGGAGCAAATAAAGAAAATTGAATCGTAGTGTGTTCATGCTTTCATCAAATGGTATTTGGGATGGTCTGGAGGTTAGGGGTCATTTAAAATGACATTTGTTCCTCCAAAAGGACACTAAACCATTTAATGTTCCCTTGGAGAAGGGGAATCTAATTTCGCTCCATCTATAGAATTATAATTCAGCTACAAGACTCTTCTCAGATGGTAGACTAGGCGTTTAAGATGCATATATGAATACATTGCGACATGAATAAGGACATGGCCTAGGGCTAGGGAATAGTGGTGGGCCTGTGCTCTTGTGATATTCTGACATCTTACAATGAAAGGAATTGGAAATAAAATCCATTCCAAGCATGCAAAACCCGAGCAAAAACTAGCAAAATACATCAATAACTCTCAACAAAGTTTGCTTTTAATTTGTTCAAAGTCATTCTACACAATCAGCAGTGAGATCACCACGCTGGAACGGAAGATCACGGTCGTATAATCAGCTGAGTGGACCTCTCACGGCCACCCCATATCTTACATCGCCGCGATATATGTCAACACGAGTTTCGGGCGGCGCCTCACGGCTGGTTTTGCCGTGAGTTCATCAGGTTGAGAGCCGTACTATGTTTGGAGGCCGTCCGTGCCGGCAATCGTCTCTCGTGATCTGAATGACCGGTAGATCCATCGCCTGAGGGTGATCTGAGTGACCCAGAGACCCGTCGCCTCAGGACACTCTGAGTGACCCGGGGACTCGGCGCGGGTCGCGTCTTGTGATCGACACGACCGGTCGCTGGTGTGACGGGTTCAGACACTCAGCAGACAGCGGGCAGACAGCCGAGGCCGGCGCCAAATCCAATATAGTCGGGTCGCGCCCGGAAGCACCATCAGCCGGCCGGGTCTCAGATTCCCCCGATGGACACGACATATGCCCGAGGCCATACGCGGAAACGGCCTGACGCGCTCCACTGTCCGGCACTGCAGCGGGCATTGTCAACTGAGGACCAATGTCAGAGTGGAGTCATAAGGCGGTGCTTTCCGTCCTGCCGTGCCCAGAGTGGGCGCAGGCAGCGGCTGAGAGGTGGCACGGTCCGCTGTATGTACCCACCCGGTCAGCCAGGGCAGTCGGTGGTGCTGAGATGTCCAGCAGAGACTGATGTGTCGCCGCCTGATCTGTGATGCCGCGCGCTCCCCAACGGAGGCCGGCGGTCCAATAGCCGTATAATAAATGAGCTAGGGCGCAATGTCGGGTCTCTTTACTAAACTCCGTCTGGGGGGATTTAGAATGCTGCCGCTGTGACCTGTTGCTAATTTCATTCATGAGACGCACTGAGAGGATCTTTTCAACCAAAATGATTCATATCAGACTCACGCGTGTAGCAGAAAGCAAATTAGTTCCAGAAAACTAGAAAATAAAAATTGTGCTACTATGCAAAGACTAAGGAGTACTCGCACTCGTAGCGTCTGGGAATTTCAAGGGCGGCTTTTACCTCTGCGTTGTTCATATTTTCCATAACATGATTTCTCCTCCGATGCTTCAATAGTATCAGCGTAGCGGAAATGAAGAGTTATGAGGCATATGTCACCCTTCTCAGCCATTACAAAGACCCAAGTGGCTCAGGCATCGGCGACCGATGCCATCCAAAAGGTCAGATGCGATTCAATATTATTTTCATTCTTTCATATCCGCCCAGTGAAGGCTCGGATTTTGCAGCGCGTTTTTTCATAAGTTCTGAGGAATGTCTGAGGAACGGTGAAATTTGCATACGATCGGTATTAGTTTTTTTTTATAAATACAGTAAAGGGTGTTTACAAATGTACAGCTTCTATGGATTATATCTGCCGTGAGCATGCTTCTATTTTAATTTCACATGGACAGAAAAGCGACGCATTTTCAGACTAGTAGAACTGAGTGAACATTTCTTAATGGAACCAAAGCATAAATTTGCGATGTTTCGTTGGTGCACCGAGCTGAACTGACCACCGCCAGAGTTTCAAAGAGCATGAAGTTGCGTTATGAAAAAAGGAAACGAATAAATAACGCAGGAGCCAAGCACCATATGAATACTTACAGGCTGAGCAGTTGCGGCAAGTTTCTGAACGCATCGGCTCGGATCCTCCTGAGCTGCTCGTTCTTGGAGAGCACTCTGCAAAGAGCATTTGAGTAAGAACTTGAAATCGAACTAACTCTGTGTCCGTTTTACTTGCAGAACCTTTTCGGGCGCCGGTGACAGCAACCGTCGCCGGCGACTGTAAAGCTGCTACGTGCAAAACGGCCATTAGAGAATAGTGAAGACAATATATTTTAGACACTGTGATAAAGGCCATTGAAGATGTCGCAGATAGTTCAAAGTTTTACACAAAGACTGTTGCATGTTGAACACTTACAATCGAAATATACTAATACATTTTTTTTGTGCACGCGTCTGCATGATTTCCTTTCAATATGTTCACATGAATCGACATATTTCTGATTTTTTCAAGCAATATGTATTCTAGGTAAATGTACGGAAATGACATGAGAAAAATGTTTGAAGTATGTGTGGCTCTGTCAAGTATTTAACATTGTACAAACGACAAACTAAACAAACCATGTTAGCATCAGCCAGCCGGCGAAGTTGAAGATTCGCCACTCACATGTCCTGAAGATGCGCAGCGTACCGCAGGAAGTCGTCTCGGTCCACCTCCACGATATTGGTCATTGTCAGCGTTCTGAAAAGAAACACGATACGTCAATATTTACGATATGACAACGTTCACGATACGGCACGACCTTACCAAAGTTAGGCCAAAATAACACTCTGCAAATTGTAGGGAGCAGCCTCTATGCATACCCCGCACGAAAATAAAAAAATCACTTAAAAGTTATTTGCAATGAGCCGCGGAAAATCTCCCAAAAGTTTGTTAGGCTCCATGTTCGCTTTTCTCTTCAGCTATTCCCCATCAGTCGTACCCGGCGCAACTCCGCGCAACACACAATACTCTTTTTTGCGATTGGAAAGGGGAGGGCTTGGCGTAAGGGGTCAAAAGGCGTGGAAAATCAATTTAAAATGGATGGATGTTTTCCACGGAACATTAAAGGTAGCATGTATGTTTGTCAGCCATGAATACGACTGATCGAGGTTCGGCGCTCAATAGTTATGCTCAATTTGCTCATTTTATTAATGATACTACTTTCAGTGAAATGAAATGTGAAACCAATAATGTCCTAAAACATGTCTTATTGCAAACGCAATACCAGCAAACATCCATCGAGTGTATTGTGTGCTTGTTATTCAAGTACGAATAATTCGACTGAACAAGAGGTTGCACCGAAACGTCCATAAAACTATTTTTCATTAAAGGTAGTGTGCCAGCTTTCTTGGACCGTATGGAGTTAATGGCCCAGATAAGGAGAACCGGATTTTTAGAACTTATCCATACCTTCAAAACTCATGGAAACGTCTTAAATTCTTCAAATTTTGAGTACCCCAGTGCGAAATTCGCCCCGACGGGTTGTCGGTCGTACCCCAACCACATTTCACACCACTATGAACAATAAATGCACACACTGAAATCGCTATTACCGATATGCTCATCCAATCAAGTTTCGATAAACCCGTTCATCATCATCTGCTGCGGTTTCGAACACGCCTGTTAGGTGGCTTCTGATGCTCGTCGAGGTCGGAATTTCCAAATACGCGTGGTGCGTCGGGCCGCGCGCTCTGACTTCGGCCAAGAAAAATGCGTCAGCTGATCATTGTCATTTCTGCCACTTGCGTGTGGTGAAATGGGGTCATAACTTATAAGACGGCTTTTTCATATCAATTATTTTACATAAAATCATATTTCAAACCATAAATAATGTTCGACAGCCAAATAAAAGAAACAATACCAATACGGGCTTACAGTTTAAGGCTCGACATTGTGTTGTCTACGATTAGACAGCTGATAACTCATTCCCGTACGTCGTATGGTCGTAACACTATAATGACCTTTGCTTATTGTCACAAGTGCGCCGCATTCGCGATTGTTGCCCGACGCCTGTTTGCAGGTGAGCCCACTACAGTTGTTATACATATCTAAAAACCGAAAAACTTTTAGGAGAAAAAGGCACTATTCCAGGCCCATTTTTGATTTTTTTTTGCGATATTAGGTAAAAACAGAAGCTTCTTATCCTAGGAAAAATAAAATGGGAAATCTTTCAAAGGTGGCACACTACCTTTAAGCTATTTGCTGCTCCACTGAAAACCACGGAGCTTTCGGATATGCAGCACATGGCATGCACCCACCAATACCTACCCAATGTCCATGGTAAATGAGCTACATTGAGTTGACCGATCACGTCCAATCTCCATGCAAACCCTATGTCAACAACTTTCCGTAAGGAAGGTCGTCAGCGGGCCACCCTCGCCCGCACATGAGGGGGGGGGGGGTTGCCACCCCCCAGGCAGTCTTTCTGCCCTGCACTCAACATTTTTAGAGCTAGAAGCCTGATTTATGGTATAGCTGCTCCCCTATCCTTGTTGATATCCACTGAAAATTTCAAGTTTCGGCGGTTTTTGGTTTCGGAGATATGACCTTGTTTTTCAGGTCATGTCATGACCCAAATGACCAATTCTCAACATCTTGCGTTGGCTATGGGCCTTGTGAGCTTTTGACACCTTGATTTCGGCCTTTTTTGCCATTCTTACCTCCCACCTATCATGGAACATGTTGTTCGACGATGTACAGATGTCAAGGTTAAGGTCAAGGTCAACCTAGGTCATCTAAAATAATTGTGTTTTAGGCGGCTGAATTTACTTTTCGTGACGTTTTTTTTTTTACTGCATTTTTGGTAAAAGCTTCTCAGATCATGATTTCATGTAATATGGATGTTAGAGTGAGTTTGCGAAATTTGTGGATCCGCGGATTTCCTAGGGAATCCGCGAAGTCCCTAGTGGCTCCACGGATGAACATCAAGTCTAGTATATTCGCGGATAAACGGGCGGGGATCCGCGGATGAACAAGACTTCAGGATAACCGCGAACTCCCTGAAGAGTTGACGAGATCCGCGAACCACCCGGGGAATCCGCGGAGTAACGATTCATTCTAGTGAGTTTGCGAAGTTCCTATGCGTTTCATACAGCTATCTAGACTAGAATGCATGGGATATTGGGTAGATCATCTGCGACTTAATCCGCGCCCCGTCGGGGTCTGCCGAGCATTCCCCCCCCCCCCCTAAGATCTCGAGAACCACGTAACATAGCGACAAGCCGCAAACGGTGTTGGATAGCCGCAGCGGGGAACTACCATGTGAACCAATTTCATTGACCTAGGTCCAAGCGATAACGTCACAGGTCAGGTCAAATGTCGAATTTTCATCGTTTACAGGCATTTCAAGAAATGTGTTGTGCTTGTAAAATCGAGTAAAATGCATGTCACTGAAAATCAACGATGGGAATTGTTCTTCAAACACATATTCTGCTAGTTGAAGTCACTGATGCCAGGTCAGGTCACAGAGGGTCACAATATGAAAATAGCATGTGATGCATGTTTTATGGTCAATTTTACATGACAAATGCGATTATGTGGGTAAGGCAGCCTTTGGGGCCAGTTTAGGTTATGCTCTGGTGAAGGTCAGGTCAAGGTCAGGTCAAATTAGCTCAAATTTCAAAGTTGATATTTTTGCCCGGGTTGATAGGTACGTTTTGGGTTCCCGTATCGGAGTTCAGCATTGCCCCTCCAGTCCAAATGTTCCCCAGAATAGATATACTGTGGCGCCGGGCTGAAGCGGCTGTAGGCGCGGTGCTGACCGGTCGGGTCAGGTCGGCTGTGGCAAAAGGGCAAGTTGGGGGGAGGGGGCAACTGCCCCACCAACTGTGCAGCCCTCTGCAAACTGCGTGGTAGGTATTCTTTTTTTTTTCGACAAAACTGAGAATACCTAACGCGAATACTATGCTATCGGTCACTCGGAAATCGTGACAGCAAGACGCATGAGACTCCGCACGTTAGATTGGCATTATCATCGTGCTCATTTTCCATCCAATTTGGCAACGAAACCCAAAAGTTTATATTTGCCCCCCCAAAAAACTTTTGCATTTTATTGCCACACAAGGCATATACAGGGTGACACAAAAAAAGCGGTCATCACCAAAATTCGAATAACTTCAGAAGTTTTATTCAGATCATCACCAAACTTCGGCCACTTTAGGTCACACCTATGTAGCAGACATCCACCAAGTTTCAAGTCTTCACTACGAATACTTTTAGTACAGTGTGTGTTTTACGGACGCTCCACAATGTGCTCCAGGTGAGCGCCCCGGCGCTGCAGGGCGTAGGCACACCTGCATCCGGCGGGCAAAGTTGCCGATAACCCGATAAGAATAATGTTTCAGGGGTAGCACACCCCCTGAGCACTGTCTCCAGAGGCCATTGCACTCTGTAAAGTGCACAGCCATCGGGTTATCGACAACTTTGCCCGCCGGATGCAAGTGTGCCTACGCCCTGCAGCGCCGTGGCACTCACCTGGAGCACATTGTGGAGCGTCAGTAAAACACACACTGTACTAAAAGTATTCGTAGTGAAGACTTGAAACTTGGTGGATGTATGCTACATAGGTGTGACCTTAAGTGGCCGAAGTTTGGTGATGATCTGAATAAAACTTCTGAAGTTATTCGAAATTTGGTGATGACCGTTTTTTTTGTGTCACCCTGTACTTTGCTTAGTGATAGACCCAATCGAAGGAGTGGAGCATGCCGCATCTAGTTATTTGCAGTGAGTTCCGACCGACTGATAATACAGCCTTTCAGTAATTATCGGTTTTGTGCAAAAAAGAATACCTACCACGCAGTCTGCTGAGGGCTGTACAGGAAGCTCCGCCTCTGAGGAAGAGTGAGCATTACTGTTAAATTCATACACACTTGCATACATTCACATGATCGCTCAGATGCCTTTCCAGCTTTCCATTCATGGTTGGGAGAAAAGTAAGCAGACTGGTCGCAGAAGTTCAACCACGCCAAAAATGGCTTACCGTCTATTATTTTATTGTATATTGATATTTGCGAGCGACGTCTAAGCGAGATGAAAAAAATAATTCGCAAACTCACTAGAATGAATCGTTACCTACTTAGCGAATTCCAACAGCAACTGGGAAAACACCAAGACGGGCGAGGGTTAAGTCGCAGACGATCTAACCAATATGCCCTTGCATTCTTGTCATAAGATAGCTGCATGAAACGCATAGGAACTTCGCAAACTCACTAGAATGAATCGTTACTCAGCGGATTCCCCGGGTGCTTCGCGGATCTCGTCAACTCTTCAGGGAGTTCGCGGTTATCCTGAAGAGTCTTGTTCATCCGCGGATCCCCGCTCGTTTATCCGCGAATATACTAGACTTGATGTTCATCCGCGGAGCCACTAGGGACTCCGTGGATTCCCTAGGGACTCCGCGGATCCACCGATTTCGCAAACTCACTCTAACATGGACACAAAAACAATCGGTGCACACATCAGTATACACACAGACACACACAGACATACAAACACATATCATTGACCTTGACCTAACTTGACCTGGAATGACCCTCAGCAGCAAATATCTGGTCGGGTAGTGTGAATAAGAGGTTCTAGCTGACTTGGCACCAGAAAACGGCATCGTTATTGGTGTATGATAAGCAGCGCACTTGATATCCAACGGTGACCAAAAACAGCAACATTTTTTAGTTTAACCTGACCTGGAAGGTCAATGACTG